TCAAGTATAATTATTTTACCAGTCTCTCGAGAGTGACAAGGGTGAAAGAAACATGTATATTGAAGCAATCATCAAATGTTTCTGCGTTAGTCGCGCTCGCGTCATCGTCTTCAATGTAAGGTCCAAACATAAGGCCGATGGGTGATTGATGAAATTTGTTGTGTTTTTATTCTTCTACTCCCACCCGCACGCTTTTCTACACATACAGTAACTTACATGACACAATGTTTTTATTTTATTTTATTTTTATGCGAGTATTAATTTTTTCTTGTCGGTTGGCAATGCGTTACCACATTAACTATAATCAATAAATTTTATACGATGTAATTCAAATTCTTGTAATTTTTTATTTTTTATATATCATTTAATTTGAACATATATCATTTCATTCCATATTTTTATTAAAATAATTGATTGCTTTGTACATAAATTACTATGGATGACTTCATAAGCCGAGTTATCCAATGACTCCATAGCAAAACCGTTGTTCTGTAAACCAAAATGATGAAAAGTTGATATATTCTTGTGCGATGTTTATGGAGAGAGTACCATAAATTCAGCTGTGGATTAGTTATAGAGAAATAGGAGATATAAGAATAAACTTTGGAGATAATAACTGTTTTTTATATTTTATTAATTGAGTATTACGATACTGTGTGCTACACGTTTAGAGCTTCTCCAACCGGCACCCAAAACTCAAAAAATGCAGTATTTTTGTTCCAACCGATACGCAAACTCAAACGTAAATTGCGTTTTCTCCATTTACTGGCTTCTACAAACGCAAATTTGCGTTCTCCCTATTCACAGACGCAAATTTTTTGACAAATTGCACTATGACCCCATGACAATGATAAGTGAGATTGGAACTATTTATTTCCTTCCTTCTTTACAATATTTATGCCAATATTTAATTTTTAATCTATTATAGATATAAAATTTAATATAATGTCAATAATTAATTTTTGAGTGCTAATTATTTCTAATGACTACAACAGGTTTGTATAATATATATATTATATTATATATATATTTATTACTTTTTATATATTTAGTGGTATTGGTGTAATATATATTTCTATATGTTTAGCTCTATATTTTATTTATATGTAATGTAATAGTTAAATATTGTTTTGTAGGATAATTATAATCATATAGAATTTAAAAGAATACAAAATTTATTTTAATGTACGGATGGTAGTTTATTTGTGTCTCTATAACTTTCAAAAAATATTTATTTATCCAATTTTTTTTATGTATATTTGAACATTATAATTAATTCTATTACATAAATTGCTAATCGAATTTAAAATAATAATGTGGTTTAATTTGTAAAATTGTAAAATATTTGTGTAGTTTTGAAAAGTTGTAAAAGTTGATGAAAAAAGAATATTCCGAGAATATTCTTTTGGGCTTGAGAATGAGTTTTTCGGTTGGAGCGGAATTACTGTTTGATTGGACCGTTACTGCAAAATGGGTTTGGGAATGAGTATTTCGGTTAGAGATGGTCTTACTTAAGTATCAATATTTGTGCAAAAAAAGTAAATAATTTGTATTTTCATAGTGAAATTATGTATAATGAAAATACACCAATAACAAATAACTAACAAGTTCATAACTATTCAAAATGACACCCGTATTTTTACACAAATTTGTAAGAAGAAATAATATTTTTAAGCATATTTAACATTTATATATGTTTAAAACAAATTTTATTTACAACCATACAAATTTGATTTATACAGTCTGTGCCTCTCGTTTATTAATTTTTCAAGTATACACAAAACTGTATTATTTCCAAAATTTAAAAAATACATAATTATTTTATTATTTTTAATTATGATTAATTCATTATATTTATTATTTAAAAAACATAATAATATTCACTTCTTTATATAATTTATTTAAATCAATAAAACGATATTTCCATAATATTTCTTTAAATTTATTTTATATAATTCTTAATTTTCATATTATGGACGGTTGGCCCTAAATTTTTAACCTTTTCAACTGAGGGTTTTAATTTAAGTTATTCGCAATATGAGACCTACTTTTACATTCTACTTTCCAATTTAAGATTCCGAGTTAAAATGTATATTGACATAATTATGTAAACCACAACTCTTTTTTTCTTTTTAAATAAATTATTTTATAAGCACTTAAAATATAAAATATTAAATATCTTTCGTAAATTTACTTAATAAGATAATTATTACATAATTTACATTTATGCAAAAGTTTAATGAAATTTATTTTAATCTAAATATGTGATAACATTCAAAAATAAACTATTTAGAATGATAATTTTATTTTTTAAATGTTATAGAAAATATTCTTTGTGAATAAAATTTATATTCTTAAAATAGTTAAGAATATACAAAATTAATACCTATAATAAAAGTGTTAAATATATTTGTAAAACTAGTTTCGTAAGAAATTAATTCAATTAAAATATATTTATGTAAAATTAATTTAGCTTCAATGAATTATTTTTTTTTACTAAAGTAATTTTACTATAGATATTTATAATTATATAAAGCATAAATACAAAATAATAGTATTTTGGTTTACATTTTTATGTAAAAATATAAAGTTAGTTGGTGTCTTAAAGAGAGAACTAGAATGTAAAATAACCTTTTAAATGAGAATAACTTAGAAATAAAATCCTCAAATAAAAAAGGTGAAAATTCAGACCCTGTTGTAGCATAATAACAAAAAGTCAAACCCTACAATAAAATTTTTCCAATATGAAGTACAAAATAAAAGTTAATGATTTGTATAAAAATGTGTGAATTATAGAATATCATTGAACTTTACATAGTTGAAAATTGGGACTTCTGCAAAACAATCAAAATATGAAGTATTGAGATCTCATTACACAGAATACTTCATCAACAAATTTGTAGGGGAAGATAATTAATTTAATTAGGTATTATGCAGATTTAAATATATTAAAGATAAATTGGCAAATTGCACTATAAACAGCTAGAGTTGAACTTGAGTTGAGAGTTGGCTGCAGACTTAAATGTTAGTCATAAAAGCTGTGCTACCAAATTCTGACTTAGCCGAGCCCACTTACATCAATGAGTTCAATTAGGCTAATTGGATGGCATTGGCAAGGCTAACTTTCATAACTATCATTAGAAAACGGCTACAATCCACAAAGAAAAGGGATTATAAGGGATCAGTTATGCTATGAAGTCAACAGCAAGAATTAATTTTTTGAAAGAAAAGGGATTATAAGGGATCAATTATGGTATTAATTTTTAAAACAATTAAGAATATACAAAATTTATATTCGACGTCAGTCCACCCCGCCTGCACAAGTTGCGCTTCCGCAGCCTAGCCGACGGACATCTGCTTGATGGACTATGGGTAGCCAGCGATGGAGATCTAGGCGTAGACGTCCATCTTGCGGAAGAGGCTCCCGCTCTTCAAACCTAGCTAGAATGATACGTATCTTCTCTCTCTCTTTTTTCTTTTTTCTTATTCTCAATTAATTTCAAAATTATAATTGCTCAAAAAAAATTTATCTATGCATGTAATATATATTCGGTTTGAAGGGAGAAATAAAAAAAAGGAGAAGAACATGAAATAATGTTCGGTTTTTCTTAAAAATTAATTAAGAATTTGTTAGATATGTGATTATATGGAAGTTACCATAAGATGAAATTATCCATAAAAAAATCTATGTGTGATTGTTTCCTTTAAATTATTGAATTTATTTTTTTTCAAAAATTTTCAAAAAAACATTTAGGCAGGATATTCCAATTTTTTTTTAAAACTTTACTTATTTTAGGCGGGAATTTGAATGATTTTCAGATACTATTTCAGGTAAATATATTTGTCTCTTTATATATACTAATAGATATGTAAGCCAAATAGTTTATATATTTATATCATAAATATTTATATATTTATATCATAAATTTTTATTAATAATAAAATCTATAAAATATAATATTTTCATTATTTAATTTATAATCCTCTCTATATATAATTCCCGAATGCGCTGAGCCTACGTGGCTGCTTCTGGTGCTTTGGAATCCTACTTGGCGAAGAATCATGCTTCGTAGTTAGGTTTGGACAAATAATATTGATAAATTAATAATTAATAATCTAGGTTTGGACATTCCATAAATATTATTTAGTTAACTTAGGTATTTTAATATCACTTTTACTAATATAACCCTTTAATTCTTTGTAATTTTACATCGTGAGACACTAAATGACTAATATATCCCTGATTTTTTATTTGCTTCCACAATTAGCTACTGAATTGTAAATTTATTTTAAAATTTGATAACTTTTGTATTTCTTATCGGTTTTACATATATAATATATCAAATTAATCAACTTTTGATGATCTTCGATTTGACATCCATATTGTATATATGAAATAAATAAATTATATTTATCTTTATAATAATAAAAAATAATAATTTATAGAAAAATAAAATTATTTATTAATTGATATATTTATGTTCAATGTAGTTATATGTTGTAAGTGAAAAAAATTATGATAATATAACATATGTAAGTCGTACAAATAAAAACTGTCATACTAAATATATAATAATATATATTTTTATAAAAGGTATTTAAATTTTCAATTATTTTTTTTCATTAATTTTAGATTTTAAGAAAAAAATTAACAAACACTCGTGTAATACACGGGCGTTGTACTAATTATAAATATTATAAACATAAATAAAACTTATAAAATTTTGTTTGTATCTATACATATCCAACAAATCGAGTAATACTTTGTAAGAAAAAAAATAAAAAAAAAAAATAAAATTGCAAAAGGTGCGAATAAAAGAAGCATAAAGTTTCCATTTTTCCCCAACCTCACTAACTTCTTTCAGCTACCATTCCAATAAAACAACTCCTCACCGCTCTTCGTGCTCTCCGCCACCATCCCTTCTTCTCTTCCTATCGATCTTCATTTTCCGACACCCTTTTTTTCTCTTCCTTTCTTGATCTCATCGGACAAATCAAAAATGGCGTCTTTTGCTGCCTCCCCTGTTTCATTCGCCCCATCCTCTTGCTCCCTCAACCAAAATCAGGTTGCAAATTCTTTGTTATATAATCAAATTTATGAAGTATATGCATGGTTTGTTTAAGTTTTTTCTTGATTATGATATTTGCTTTTGAATTTATTGTAGAAATATTAATCTTGATCCTGTGTTATTGTTCCGTTATCCATTGAACTGAAATCTGTATGTTTACCTTTTTTTTCTTCTTTATATTTGAGTTATTAGTATAATTTTATCATAAAGATCTAATCTTTTTGAAGTGGGTCTGTGGATTTTTTAAGGTTGCCTTGTCAATTCAATTTTGATGATCTAATCTGCATAATTCGACTTCGAGGTCTTAAAGTGCCTTTTATGTTTTCTCCTGATTGTGTTTATAAATGTGAATGTGCTAACAATATTGTTTCATGGGATTATGTTACTGTCCTAGAAAGATTGATTCTACCATTGTTTTATTTTTGTGTGTGTGTGTGTGTGTGTGTGTGTGTGTGTGGTGAATTTGTAGCTGCATTGCACTTTTCAGAAAACTTCATATTTTTTTCATCACATGCTTAATCTTTGTGAACACATAGAATAACCGAAGGAAATATTTGTGCCAGAATGATCTTTGGAAAGATACTAGAAGTTGGTTACTTTCTTTCATTAATTTGATTGGTCACGGGTTTCGGATATTCAAGACTAAATCCGTTTCATAATTACTTGTTTTAGTGCCCCTTATGTTGTATTTTGTATAAACTTGAGCAGGTTTCAAATCTGAGGAAGGCTTCATTTTCGTTCAGTGGAAAGGCCTTCCCTTCTCATAGATTACCGGCCCTTCGTTTCAAAGTTGCATGCGCGGTATGATAATCTTAGCTATCTTATATTTTATTTCACCGTTTTTTTTCTTATAAAATTTTGTACAGTTACTCTCTAGTTTTATACATAATTTGAGTCGTTCTGACTAGGTTTCGTTTCGCATAGCAATTTTAGAAGAGCAAAGCACATATGTTTGTGCAATTAACTAAATGGTTCCAAGTTAGTTGTAATAAGTCAGTTTGTGAGAACTGCAAATTAGACTTGGCATTTTCCCTTTACTTCCATTCCCGAAAAACTTTCAAGCATGAGGCTAAGTTGGTACTTTGCAAGCAGAATTGGAAGTGTGTTAATTGCCATTTTTGAATAATTCTTTGTAATCAGGCCAAACCAGAGACCGTGAAGAAAGTGGTCGAGATTGTGAAGAGTCAGTTGGCTCTTGATTTGGATCTTGATGTCTCTGCCGAGACGAAGTTTGCGACTCTTGGTGCTGATTCTCTTGACACGGTAAAGCTGTTTTCTAATCTCATTTTTTCCCTTTTCTCTTAAATACTTTTGTGATATGTATTTAGCCTTCGGATTGAGATATCACATTACAAATCATTTTCATCTCACTGAAGAATTTTTTTCGTGAAGATTAGACTTTTTGAACTCGATTGAGGCAATTAATGATAATTTCATCGAGATGTCCAAATGGTAACATTTTTTTTTCTTCAAATCAGGTTGAGATAGTGATGGGACTTGAGGAGGAGTTTGGCATTAGTGTCGAGGAAGAAAGTGCTCAAAGCATCGCAACCATACAAGATGCGGCTGATCTCATCGACAAACTCTTGGAGAAGAAGTGAAACAGTTGAGTGAGTGAAGATCTTTTAGCACCTCAAGAAAGCTGCCCTTTTTTTTTTCTTTTCATTTTTTCAAGCTTCATCCTTTTTATATATTATTATTATTATTATGTTCTGCAGTAGTGATTTCTTGCCTAGTATGTTGTAGTTTGCTCGAACGAAGCGTATCTCGTCGTGGTGCTTCGTTTTATTTCATTCGGCAGGACTACCTTTTTTTTTTTTTTTCTGCAATTTCATGTAAGACATTGAATCGGCTTATTATGTAGAGTGAAAAAATTGTGTTCCTTTAAGGGACATGCAAGAAAAAAATTTTATGTGTCTTTTTTTGAATGCATTTTCCTTTGTAATCCCATCTTTAGAGAGGAATTTTATAATTAGTTCTACAGATGACTTGATTTATAACTTAGACTAAAGCTGAGGGTGGTTTTCTCATGTTTTAAGTTTTCAACACAGATACTTGGCAGCATTTTCGCTCAAAATGAGTTTTTTTTTTTTGTTAATCATAGTTAATTTCGAAAAAAAAAAATGTTGCCCGAAATGTATATATTTTTTTGTTAATCATGGTTAATTTTTTGAAAAATTATATTATAATTTGTTGTTAGTGGATTTTGGATTTATATTAGAATAATATTTAAAAAAATAATTGAAATTTATTTGATGCAAAAGTAGTAGATTGTTGTAGGGGCGTAGCCGGGACTGGACAAAAAAATACTATCTTATATACCCTAGTTTAATAAAAAAATAATGGAAACACAAAGAAGGGAAAAAAGAAATAATGGGGAAAAGAAATCAGTGTTCTTGTTAATTTTGGTGAAAGTAAATCTAGTCATTTTTTTTATTAAATTTGATATAAAAATAAAAGTGAGTTTATTGAATGTTGTCTCTTAAAAACATATTTAAATTTGTGTGTGACTGATAATTTGTAGGACTCTTAAAGTTTGATATACTATATAAAACATTATATACATTATAATTTATTTTTATATCAGATAATGAAGAAATATTTTTATAAATAGTCAAAAAAGTGCATGTGAAAATATTTTAAAAATAGCTAATTTTATTCCAAATATACTAGAGGTGAATTACAATATTATTAGGCCGAAAGAAAAAGTAAGCCTTATTATAGAGTCATACCAAACAATGAAAACTCATAAAAATTTCTATGAATGTGTATTTTTGTATTTATACTTTGTTATGATGTAATATTTTTATTTTTTAGAAACAAGTAGGCCCCACTCATTTTATGTGCTAGATTTGCCCCTATGGATGATGTAAACTGATGTTTAATTAAAATTATGTGAGTGGATGAATATAGTAAAGTTGATATAATGTGTAAGAATGATTGAGTGATATTATTTGATTATATTGATAATATCGAGGATAGTGATATTGGATTAACGTAATCTTTTGTCAATTCCTTGCCCGAAGGCCTAGTCTCATATCTGCACACCCTGACGGGAGGACGGGTACTGCACACCGCGCCGGGAGGACTATCTCATAACTGTACACCCCGACAACAGGACGGGTACTGCACACCTCGACGGGAGGACGAGTACTGCACACCCCGAGGGGAGTACTCTCTCATCTCTACGCACCCCAGTGGACAGATGGGTACTGCCCACCTCACCGGGAGGACTGTGCGGATTGTAAATAGTTGTTTGGTAAATAACAGTTTGCAACTTTACATACCTATTATAAAAGATTTATGTTGACCTGGATTTGTGTAGAACTAGTTGAGATATACTCCGATCTGGCTGAACCGTTGCACGTGTACCTGGAAGAACTCAACGCCGGAAGGAATTCCGACAAAGTGTCTTCGTTGCCTAAGTCAGTATCAGGAAGATGGTGGTGGTACTTTGTGAACAAGAGCAGTATAGAATGTATGGAGAATGTAAAGTTAGAGTTTAGTGATACCTCAATCCCTTTTATAGGAAAATAATGCCCGACTGCCGAGACGTGGTACTTATCGAAATCCTAGTCATTTTCCAGTCATCCGTTGATACTTTCTTACCTCCTTAAGATTCCTTCTTATCCTTACTTCTTGTTGGTTTGGGTCATGGTCCCTTTACCGGTCGCCTGTCACATGTTAGGCTAGTCGAGGTCAAGACTAACGTTGAGCTTGAGCTATGGCTTTACAGGTCGCCCGTCACATGTTAGGCTAGTCGAGGTCGAGATTGACGTTGAGCTCGAGCTATAGTACGCCCTTTAGATGGTCCATTAAATGACACTTGCTCCAGGTCACTTAAGGCGTCACCTGGCCTTAGATCGTTATCCACATGTCGTCCTTCTATAGCTTGTCACAGGATGAGATCGCTCAATTACTTTGGCTTGACAATTTTCTGTTAGCTCGTTCTCCACTTTGGTCGAACATCACAGACTTAGGCTAGTTCCGGTCCACATATATAGCTATATCAAAATGTTACAAATTCTTTATTTTCAAAAAGCTCATATATTGGGTATATGAGCTCGGATCTGGGCCCGAGTCTCAAGTCCTCGTTATATCTAACTAGTCGTTCGAGTTCAGACTAGAGTTTTTAGATATGTGGGCTCAAGATTTCCAGTTCTCTTTTAACTTTGGTTGTGGAGGTCGTGTGCCCGTAACTGGGGTGGACTCGCGAATGTTTTGTTCTATTTCTGAGTTGGTATAAAACTCATTAGGTCACATTAAAAAATGGTTCATATATTGAGGTTTGTTAAAATTAACGTCTTTTTTTTTTCAAAATGCTAATCAAACAAACTATTTACTAAACTTATTAGGAGATTTGACGGGTCACTTAAATGGGAGTTAATTTTCTCATTAAGTTGGTGTAAATTGGAAGTTTTACCTGCGAAAATTATTAGTAAAAACTAGTATTCATCTTGTGCACATGCACAAATAAAAATAAAAATTTATATTATATTTATGTATATAATATATAAAAATTTTATATTAGTTAATTGATGTATTACATTTTAAATTTTGACTACATGCAAATGTGTAATGTTAATATAATTTATTTAACTTACGTATGAATCTTTATATTGATACCGTAAATTTTAATGGCTAATATAATTTAGTAATTTAGAGGGACCATACAATTAATTAGTTAGAAAAATATTACAATTATTTTTATCATTGTTATAGCATTTGTTTATGTGATTTTAAGATGTTTAATTATGACACTCATGCCAATTAACTAATATTAGATAAAAATCGCTTAAAAAGAACAAAATATATTTCATTTTAGAAAAAGTATTTTAAAGAAAAAAATTGCAATACAATTTTTATAAGTATGTAACTTCCACATACTATTTAATGTAAAGTTGTAATCAATTAATGTTAGTAGTGAATAAATTATATTCGAATTATTATTACACTTTATTAATGTAAAATGTAACGGTTTTACATTAATTGAAAAAATAAGCGAAAAAATAAATGGAGGTTTTATTAAATGTTTTATTAAATGTTATATGCCAGCAATTATATATATATAGATGGGTGTGTAACTTCAATTTTCAATTCGTCTGAAAATTG